TATATATATATATCTATACTGATCATGGCGTGCGTCAACGTTAAAATTATTTGAAACAAGGAAGGTATAACAGTTATTAAATATTTTACTTGTACTAAGATGCACGTAATGATGCGATTCTTAGAATAATTCGTTAACTTTCGAAACTAAGTAAGGATAGCTACTGTTATGACATCATGCATATATAATTGCATATATGCCCTTTTAATTAATTACATATTTGCATCATATATATTTATATCTATATATATACATATATCTATATATCTATTTATTTATATATATCTATATATATCTATATATATAAATCTATATATATATATATATAGATATATATATAGATGCAGCAAAGACATTATCTCATACAAGCGCGTATAGAGATCAATCAATACTTTTTTGGTTTACCTATATCCACATACATACCTAACACCTAAAATTATATATATATATATATATATTCAAATATTTAACCTCACATTGAAAATGAACTGCATATGTAATTTTATAATACCAAAGTGTTATGAATGTAAAAATCAAGTTTTAGGTATTAGATAAATATGTAAATACTTAAGAATTGTGTGGTTTCATTTATTTTTTCACAAAAACAAATAATTATCTTTATATCCTTCTTTTATCTAATGACTTTTATCTAATCAATGGATTGAAACCAAATTGAATTAACCAACTGATTATCTGAATTGATTCTTACAAGTTATCTTTACATAAGTAACCAGAAATTATTATTTTTATAAAATATTTTACTTACTATCCAATTATTTTTAATGAAAAATAAATAAATAGATAAATGCATTGAACTTATGCCCATGTAATAAACCTTGAAATGTGCGGGTCTTCGTTTTGCACAGTAATAAGAAATGCATGTAAATTTGTCTACGTTCTCATTCAGCCCATGCATGAATTTAATTCCAATGTGATTTTAGTTAGTAAAATCAAATATTTACTCATAAATAGATATATGAAATTAAACTATTTGAGGAAATATTTACAGACTTCAAATAAGAATTCTCTATATATATATATTTGTCAATCTGAACAGTGACATTACTGACATCTACTGTTTTCAGCAAAGTACAGAATCAAATGAACACATGTTTAGCTTATCCCCATGATGTAACATTCAATCAATTTTGGAAACAATGTTCATTTACAATATAAACCTCTAGAACAAAATTTGTAAGAAACATTATGAAAAAAGAAAATTAAGCAAAAAAAAGACACGTGGCAAACACAGATGTGATTATCAAAATCCGAAGAGGATGAGAGACCCTCACGTTTCAATCTGCCCTCTTAAAACTAGTTATTCTCTCTCTATGTATGTCTCCCATGCCACATATTACTATATATATCTCTCCTCATCAATGCATGTTTGTGGACAATTAATATATCTCTGATATAAGTATTGATTTTATTACTTTCTTTCTCTCTCTAAAAACAGCTTAAAAAAATGATTCTTTTTCTCTCTCTTGTCATTCTGAGCCTTCAAAGCTTCTTCTGCGCGGCCATTAATAACTTTGAAGAGGAATTGGGGATTTTAAATCCTTTCTCTTTGCATGGAATGAGAGCCCATCCTGGTTTTTATGAGGAGTTGGAAGGAGATGAGGGGAGATTGTTGGAGAGGGGCTTCGATCGAATTAGTGAATTTCAAGGGGGGTCCAAGGAGAAGGTGGTTAATGTGAAGGACTATGGTGCAAAAGGTGAAGGAGTTGACGATACTAAGGTATGGGGTAAACTTTTCATCTTTTTTTTTTTTTTTTTTTTTTTTGTTGTTATGTTTTTCATTTCCATACTTTAAATATACAATTTTAACTATTTAAAATTTTAAATATAACATTTTAATCATCCATAATCTTACTCAAAATTTCACGAGCGAGTTTAGGAGGATGATTGTAATGAAAAAAAATGATTAAAATGATATATTTACAGTTTAAGGGGTTAAAATGTTATATTAATTATTTGTGTGTCAGATACAAATTTATTTTAAATTTTTTAAATAGTATGTACTTTTAAGTATTATTTAAGACGGTATATATATTGATATTGATGTTATAATTATTCAAATGATTTGGTTTGATTTTCTTAAAATTAAATCCCAGAACTTGGAGGGTAAGTTTTCCTTGAAGCATATAAATTTTCATTTAATGAAAATTTAAGTGAAAAATATATTACATATTTTCAATATACCATAAAATTCTTAATTGAATTTGCATTTCTAACATCTAAACTTTCATAATTACATTCAAAACAACCAAATTATCAACATCACATCAGCAATATCACTACATATTACTAATATTTTAATACTAAATACGCTTTTTTCATGCATAAACATACAACTTCAAAATGTTATAAATGTAAATATTAAACTTTATGGGTTGGATATGCAAGACATAACAATTTTATGGTGTTTCCCAAAAACTTTATATTCAATAGACCTGCAGGTATCTAATCACATGTAGTAAGAAAAAAGGTTTGTTTCCTATTTAATTTATATTATAGATATAAAAAATATATAGTTTGAAATTCATTTATTATATATTATGAAATAAATTAGGTTGACCGTGGACCCATCAATGCTACAATGCCACTTTTGTCTTATACTGTCATACGGGAGAAGGTGTTGAAATAAATTTGACTCGGATTTACGGGTAGAATGACTAATTATGCAAAGTCAAATAGAGTATTTTTTTTTTTTGCAAATATTTATTACAAATTACATACATACTATAAACATATGCTATAAACTTAAACTTACATATATAACCCTTATACTTTACTTTGTGCATGATAAGAAAGTATGGCCTCAAAAGTCATAAGATTTTAAAATTATTTGATTACACATCAAAAATATATTTAATTTAAATTTAATTACCTTGTTTTTTTTTTTACAGGCATTTTTAAAGGCATGGAATGCAGCTTGCTCCTCTAACAGTCCGGTATCTTATATTATACCAAAGGGTAACACATACTTGCTCAAGCCCATCACATTTTCAGGTCCCTGCAAATCACATATTTCAGTGATGGTGAGTCCATTGCATTTATTTAAAAGAGAAATATACACACATACCCACACAATTCTTATCTATTTACAATTTGAAACATTTTTATAATTGTAAATATAATGATCAGATTATGGGGACTATTGAAGCTTCTGCAAACCCATCAGATTGGTCTGGAAAGAATCAAAGGCTATGGATTTACTTCAACGAAGTAAACAATCTTGCTGTTCTTGGAGGGGGAACCATTAATGGTAATGGCAAGATTTGGTGGCAAAAATCATGCAAAATAGATAAATCACAAGTAAGTTATTTATTTATTGGCATTTTCTAATTATCCAAATATTAAAGTCATATTTACAAGCATTTAAATGTACTGACATTGTTAATTTACCTTTTCAGCCCTGCAAAGATGCACCCACGGTATGTAAACATCATCATATTCATTATATTATTAAGTATATAAATGTAATAATTTAAGTAAATTATTTGCATTGATAATAATTTATTTACTTTCTTAATTTTGCAATGCAGGCCTTAACTTTTAATGCATGCAATGGGCTGAGAGTTCAGAGCTTGAATGTGATAAATAGCCAGCAGATACATGTTGAGTTTGAGAACAGCAAAAATGTAATGGTTTCAAATGTCATTATAAATGCACCCGGCAATAGCCCTAATACAGATGGAATCCATGTCACAAGAACCCAAAATATTAGCATTAATCATTGCACTATTGCCACTGGTATGTCTAAATTATTGCATAAATAAATATATAAATATGTATTTACATATCTTACATTTAAACTTTATTTTTTTTACATTTATATATGTACCACTCAAGTCTTTCATATGGAATAAAAAATATTTCATGCATAGGTAAGGTGGTATGGATATATATGTAAAAAATGAAGTATAAGTTTTAGATATATGTAAATATATAGTCTTCCCATATATTTATATATGTAAAAATGAAAATAATTTAATTTTTGGCATATTAATGTGTTTTACAGGAGATGATTGTATCTCGATAGTTAGTGGATCTCAAGGCGTGCATGCTAATAACATAGTTTGTGGACCGGGTCATGGAATCAGGTGCACTTATAATATTATCTTATAACTGTCTAGTTAATTATTCGCAGTTAATTAATTTAAATGAATTAAATATGTTTAAATATCAAAAATAATAACCGAATTGGATTAATTAATTAATTTTAATTATTCTTTAATTATTAATGTTGGCTATAGTATTGGAAGCTTGGGAGCAAAAGGTTCCACCGACCAAGTCTCAGATGTGACCGTTGATACTGCACAATTTATTGGTACTTCAAATGGGGTTCGTATCAAGACCTGGCAGGTAATTAATTAAATTTATTCAAGAAATATTATATATATATATGTAGGTTAAAGAGGCCTGAGTTGTGAGTTAAAGAGGTCAGAGTTGTGAGTTACATAGGTCGTAGTTGGTCATATAAGATGTAGCGGGGAGCGATAATAACGTTCTTCCTGCGAAAATTTTCTATTTTAGTTAGAAATAATAAACTAAATATTATTGCATGTGGCATTGTGTGCATAAATGAAATATTTCATTTCCTCATGCAAATAATAATTTATTTAATTTTGTGTAGGGTGGAAGAGGCTATGCAAAGAAAATAGTATTCAAAAACATTAAAATGAGCAACGTTAAAAACCCAATAATCATCGACCAAAACTACTGCGACTCCAGCAAGCCATGCACCCAACAGGTAATAATTAAATCAATCATTACTCTCTAATATTCAATTAATATAATCAAAATCATGATAATTAAAGAATTTATATTTATTTTATACAGAAATCAGCGGTGCAAGTGAGCGACGTGCAGTACAGTAATATAAAGGGAACAAGTGCATCAAAATTCGCGATAAACTTCAACTGCAGCAGAAGCTTTCCATGCAGTGGGATTATATTAGAAGGCATAGACTTGGTTAAAAATGGCGGTGGTTCAGCCAAAAGCTTCTGTGCTAATGTTAAGTTGACCAAGAAAGGCACAGTCATCCCACCACCATGCGCTTGATTTGTAAATAACAAGTTTTCGGGGGGTCTATATGTAATTTCCCGAATTTATAAATAAATTCTGACAACATATCTGAAATGTGTAGGACGGTATTGTTGTATATTTGTATAGATATTACGAATAGTTTCATGTCTTTGTGTATGCATAGTTAATATCCATGAAAGTAAAATTTCAGATATACATTTGATTTTGATTCATGATTGTTGACTCCTAAACTTTTAATGTATTTTTTTAGAGACATTTACATATATACCTTATGAATATATATAAGACCTAAAGTTAGAAAGAAATTTAAGTACATTTAGAGCAATTTGGTGTTATAAAACCATGCATGAGACAATGTATAGGTGGTAGATGTATAATTAATGTATAGGAATGGTGTGATGTGTATTTAAATGACAAATTGATTTAATTTAACATAAATTTTGATAAAAAAAAAGTAAACAAGTAGATTCAATCCAAGGAAAAACATATAAATCATTCATAGAAATATTGATTATAACATATGGAAAAAATTTGATAGAAATGTGAGAAGATTTTGTATTCTTTTACTAAAAACAAAAGGTAGATTTGCATATAGATACTACTCAATTCTTATGTATTTACAAATCTAACACCAAAATTTTGTTTTTTTACATACAAACCATCTTATATATGCATGAAAAGGTGCGTCTACCTTTCTAAAGTTAAAATGGCATGTGTTGTGAAAGTTTTGGGTGGTATGATGTGATAAAGTAAAGTTTAGGTGTTAGATATGTAAATATATAGGAATTGGGTGTTATATATGTAAATATATGTAAATTCCCGATGAAAAATTAATCAAATATATATAAAAAAAGTTATAAATAATAAAAAATAAATCCTACTGTTATTTTCTCTCATTAGTATTTTGATCCACCCCAAGGATTTGCACCTTTTATATAAGTCTTTGTAAAGGCACCAGAAACTTGATCTGCTCCCTAGCAAATTGGTTGAAAATTAGGTATTATTACCCACTGGGATTTCTCATACACGTATGTGTATCGTTTTGATAATATAGAGCTTTATTGAGTTCAGATTGTCGATCCCCGCTGAGAACGAGGTAACGAGTCCAACAAGAATTCTAAAGTTAAAATTAAGCATGAAGTAAAAATCATCACTTTGAGATATAAAGATCAATTCTATAATCATTCTAACATTCAACGCATTTCACTTATGCATCACAAGAGAAAAGTAAATGAATCTACTCACAAAGCATGAAGATTGCAATGGAAATCATCATTTTAACAAAAACAAATTAACTAAATATGAGTTCACAACAAGTACAAGACAATAGTTAACACAATGCTTATCTTTTCTCCATTTGAAAAGAGATGAAACAATCCTCTACAGAATCTCCAAGTGCTTGAACAATATTGCAATGACTCCCTCGCAGACCTCATCAATCTCTCTAAAAAGGTGAAAATCTATACATCATATCCCTAATTATGACTCCATGGCTTCCTTGGAGTTCCCAACGCTTCTTCACAGCCAAAAGCCCCCTCCCCAACCATCAAAATCAGTCCAATAACTCCACAAGTCGTGTTGAAACCATCCTTGGATTGTTCTAGGCGTCCAGACGCCAGTTTGCTGACAGCCTCTTTGCTGCAATTGACTTTGTTTCGTTCAATTCGATTAATATTTCCTACCTGTTATACCTGCAAGAAAAACATGCATCAAATTAAAGTGCAATTTTGAATTAAAGTTCAATATCCTTTATTTCTCTCCAATTCCTACCATGTTTCCTACCTTCTTTAAATTGCAATTTCATTCAAAAACAAGTGTTAAATGTAAAGAAAATTAAGAATTCTAAAAGACATCATATTTTTTTTATTTGTATGTCAAAAAATACATAAATAAATAAAAGAAATTTCCTCCTTTCTTCTAAGTCACAAAAATAAAATTTTCCCCTAAAAAACCTTATAATTAATTTATATTATGAAAGAAAGACTCAAATTTATTAACAATATCTTCACATATGTCCCTAATAAATATCATGATTGAGGCAAAAACATTTCTAAAATAGAGCACATGAATTAGCTATATATATTTTTTTGAAAAAAAATTATTTAAAATATCAAGTACTATATATTTATTTATTTTAGTGTATTATATATAAAAGATTATTAGAAATTTTGAAAAGAGCCCTTCCTAAATTTGTTTTCCCACCCTAGCACGCCTAGAACAAATTATTTTGTTTGCTTTTAGATTGGTGCAGATTCCATCAAATCATATTAATATTTTTGCTCAGTAAATAATAATTTTAGAAATTTACATAAACTATATTAATAAATTTGAAACTAATATAAAATTCCTTTTTAAGCCCTTCTGAATACGGGCCCAAAATGGGCCGCAAGAGTCAGTTTAACGTTCTGACCCACTGCTGTTCGACAGCGGCGGGATAACGATTACCACTCCCTTGGGTCGTTAATTATGCCGCATAAATTACCATTTCGTTGGGCAGTTAATTATAATTAAAATTATAATCTCAAAATATTGAGGAGCTGAAAAATAATTTTGAAAGTTATTTGACTAGATGAATATGGGGTTATAATCTCAACAAAAGCTTATAAACTATAGCATTTATTTGAATCATTTACATGTCATATAATATGGGGTATAAGCTCATGAAAGAAAGCTAGACAACATTTTTAAGCATTCCCAAACGAGCCATTTACTATGATATAGCCATGCAATCCAACATCTCTTTACATATGATGCAACTTATTATATATATTCATCATTTCCAAATTATTCTTGTAACCTTTTTATGACGATACATGAACAACTGTATATAACTCTGACTCGACTTTTCAAAATTCGATATTCTACTTTTTTTTTTTTTTGAGAAATGTGAGCCTAAATATCAGTACGTGCAATTTGAACGCGTGACCTCATAATGAGAAACTATACCCTCTATTAATTTTTTATATTATTTTCATTTTATCGTCTTGTGGGGCATCATAATCGAATACACTGATGAACTTTAACATATTGATTATATATTGACTATGCAGAATCTAATACATATGAACACATTTATCACTTACAAAAGTCAAAACTTTTCTATAGCAAAAGGTATGCAGACAATAGGATACGGGCCTCACTTTTAACTGTTTCAATCTTATAAATAATTCTCATCTCACAATAATAATTATATCTCTTTAAAATAAATTATGAAATCCAACATCAATATCATCAATCTTATATAGTATTTATCATATCACCCCTTTTTTTAGCACATTAAATACTGTAACTTGATGGTCGTGCATGTGCTTGAAGATGATGCTCTGGGAAATTAAATACGACGCATACGCTGATAAAAATCATTTGATGATGGCCCATTGGCTCATCTAAAACACTGTTTATGCAGTAATAATAATTGGGAGGTTATTTACGTAAATATAAATATTTATATTTGGAGGCATGAATAATAATATATGGATGTGACATGCAGTACAGCAGGCGCAATTGACGGCATAAATCTTCCTTTATCTACCTAAAAAATTGGACTTAGATAAGAGTTAATGAAAGCAATGGTGCTCATAATATATCAAACCATGTGCGCGGGTCATGACGCAAAGACCTATAGTGTTTTGTCTTTTAGAGTGGAATGCAGCTGTCTTGGATGGAGAGAGCTAGATTATGCGTGTGAGGAGAGAGAGAGAGAGAGAGAGCAGCCATATAAAATAGTAAAATAATATTAATCTTCCTAAAGAATATATGTGAATTGAGAAATCATGTCACATTGACATAAATTTGCTTCATCTCCTCACATGAAAAAAATATTGTATCTAGAGTCCAGATACAAGCTGTGTCTGGAAGACAGACGGGATGCATGGAGGAAGTGAAGGAAAAAAAAACTAATCTTCTCGTGCATCATGTTTGTTGTCTGGATGCAGCTTACATCCAAACTCTATAGAAGGGTGGACCCAGATCTCCACCCCTCATTCCTTTACTTATATGTAAGGGTAATTTGACTTTTTAGCCCTTTTGAAATATTATTTTGTTATTCGTTGTCCTAGCCCCTTCCACGTTGGGTTAGGGGGACATTTTGCTCCCCTCAAAGAAGAGGTTGGTTCCTCTCCTGGACTCCCCCTCCACTATTGTGTGTGATTTACATTTCCAGTTGTTGTTTGCTTACTATACATATTAGCTTCTTTTTAATCATCTTATTTAAGAGTTTCAAGCTTGAAAAAAAAATATTAGAACAACATAATTAATTTTTTAAAGGTAATACAAGAACAATCACAACTCTAAACTGAAATAACTCAAGAAATAATATGTATGTTGATCATGATATTTTATTCTTGCAAATGATATAAAAATCATCTAATGTATTTATGAAATTTTCTCAATAAAAATTTTATTTTATTTATCTAAAGTTTCTGTTCTTACAGTATGCACTACTAAACAAACAAACAAACAAACTATAGCAGTGATTTTATAAGGCTTTAGCAGTTTCAGAAAAGATGTTTACCATACTTAAGATTGTAATTAGTATTTTAATCGCTATATGTTAGATTTTAGCGGTGGTGAAAGCTGTTGCAGGTTACAGACTTAGCGTATTTTAATTACTGCAAATCTAACAGTTTAAATTACTATAAATGTAGAGTTATGGTGGCTAAAACTGTCAGAATTGCTCTCTGATTTCATTAAGGTGAATGGCTTTTTAGCTAATTATCATATATTTAAGGAATAATTATATTCATACCACCCAATTCTTATGTATTTATATATTTAACATCTAAAAATAATAATTATATTTATGGCATAATAACTTTAAAATTTTATTTTCATTTTCAGACAATAAATATCATTCATTGCCAAAATGCTCACAGAGAGTGAGAGAGCAATCAATCAACTGTGTGGTTTGTATGTCGATGTCTTTCAACTGCTTCTTAAATAAATATATTGCAGAGAGAGGCAGCTTAATTTATGCTTCGGCCGAGGATAAAGCCTTCAATTTGGTCCAAAGTAAGGGGTTGGTCCACACCTTTC